CTTTTTGTTTTCACTAAAAGTGATAGTGCTGTCAAAATTAGATTTAATACAGTCGTATGTGAGGCCAAATTTTTGTCAATTTGGTTAATGAGAGAATTTGTCTTGAAAGTGAGAATTTGGAAAGAGAGCAAATAGTCCTGTCCTTGAAAAGTGAGGCAACACTGGTTAGTCATTTTTTAAATCATAATTACATGACAAAATACTGTAGGTCCTTACTTTTTGTTGTTGTGTTATTTGGAAGAATCTGTTGTAGATAAGGGTCATTTTTCAAAAGGTCACTCTGTATATCAGTTCTTTTTCATCCAATTCCTCTCGGCAGATCTCTGGAGAGGGACTAGGACCACAATTTAGGTTTCACGTTTTTCATGTGTAACTGCTCACCTGTTAGCCTTTTTAATGACTTACCAATATAAAAATATTTAGTTCTTCGATTGTAAGCTGGCATCAACAACAGATGACTTTAACAAAATTAACGAGGCTTATTTTCAGTTTCACATTTGTAATTTGTAAAATGCAATATTCACTAAAGGATTTTTTCATTGTTCAGTGGACTTATACTGAGTACTAAATTGATGCCCAATGAATCCAGTGATTTTCAGCTTTGAAACTGGGCAAACCCCGAAGCTTTCTTAAGAGGCCATGGGTATACCATGCTGAGGATTTCTCCAGTTTTCTCATTTTTATTTAACTCCGAGTCTTTTTTCGATGTATGGTCAATGTACACAGGGTTATAGTTGTTTTTGCTGGAAGCAGACAGTCACAGAGGCCATCAATGAACCTTTGCAGATGAATATTAATTGAAAATACCTCAAAGACTCAACTCATATTTCTCCTCCAATTAAATCACAGAAAAGACAGAGTTGGAGGTCCTCATTGTTCTATTTAATGTTTCAAACAGGATTTTATTGAAATGGCGAGATCTATTAAAGTTCTTCGTAAAGGCTATGAAGCAAATTTTGCATAGAAAATTTGGGTAAAGCTTTACATTACGGCACGGTAATTGCACAGTAATAGTGCGTAACAAATTGTTAATAACCAGGTAATTGTGTGTAATTACTATAGAATTTCTATGAAATTACCATTGTAATACTTTGATAAGAACAATAACAAAGAAATAATTACAAAGTAATTTCTATGAAATTACTATTGTATTATATGATGATATCGACAGGATTATGAAATAGTAGATTATTTGTGAGTAAATACTAAGGACTTACCATGAAATTACCTTTTCATGACATAAGGTAATGAAGTAGTCTATGTGTATAACTACCAAGTAACTGCTATAAAATTACCTTTGTATAATAAAATGTGACTAGGTAATGAACTAGTACATGTGAAAATGACATGAAATTACCTTTGAATTGTGATAATGATATAGTAGCCTGTGTGTAAGTACTACACAATTAGTAGGAAATTACCCATGTTTGAATTTACAGTAATTACCAAGTTATTTCTATAAAATACCCCTTGTAATATGTTTAATAGTTTTTATGTAATTAACTGGAATCAGGGCTGCAAAATTCACATCTGACTGTTTCTACTCTATTTTGTGGAAACATGACCCTCCCTATGGACCCTCCCCAAGAACCAGAATATACAAAGAAACATGTTTAATACTTTTTATGTAATAAACAGTCAATTACAAACAGTACTTGCTCTCATAACTTACTATAACAGAACATGTGCATTTATTCAGTTATAACAGGTAAAGCTGCACATTTGAAATATTTATAAACATTACCAAAGGTTGACAGTGCCATAGTGCAAATTGTTAAATGGAGTACACACTGGGTGACCTAATAAAAGGTTATACAAAGGAATAATCATCTCCAATACAGAAAAGTTGGATTTTAAACAAAATATGTCCACTACTTATAATGAAGCAAATGTAACAGTGCACCATAAAAGCATAAAAAATATCAAATTTAAAACATTAAACCATTAAACAATAAGTATTCTGTCAGAGACCTTTAACAATTAAGATTACTTAAACTTATAAGACATGGGTAGGAGCTCACCGTCACCTTTCACTTTTTGAATTTTTGATTTCAGATTAGGCTCACCATCAAGAAACTCTTTTATTTCTTGAGCATATTTCAAGACTGAGCCTCCTGTAAAAGCTGGAATTCGTGACTTCTCTGTTTCAGCAGCAATCTGAACTTCCGCAATGATAGCAGTGTATGCTATCGTGTTTCTATCAACGTTGTGCTTCTCACAGCTCCTGCTCACACTTTTTGTGTTTTTGTATGTCTTCAAAATTGT